ATCCTTAGAAAACAAATTTATTCAAGCAGTGATCAAGTGATTAAACTAATAGATTTCCTATTTTATTGATTCGAGTTAAGTAAGACTTGTAATGAGCTAATAAAATATGCTAATTCAATTAACTCCTTGTTGATGGTTCGTCACACAAGCTCACACATTAACGTACCTATTTTCTAGTTAACCCTAGTTTCACTTTCGCTATTCCTGGGCATATAACAATGTTTTCACATAAATCATATGAGATTAGCAACTAAGAGATGTTCATGCAACTTAATTACTGGTTAATTAACAAAAAATAGTTGTAATTAACACATAAGGTTCTTTAACAAGCTTAACAAAACAAAATCACCATCTTACATTAATCCAATCATAAAATCAAACCTTATTCATAAAATCATCTATCCTAAACAAAAGTTATGATTTTTTAGCTCATATCTACAACAAATAACAAACTAAAAACATAATCTAATGATTGAAACATGGTTCATGCAAAAGATTAAGATAAAAGTAATGTGTTATTGCCTTTGATCTTCTTCCAAATTGATATCTAAGTTGAAATCTCGAAAACCACAGCTTCTAAGAACCCTTTTGGCCTCCAAAAATCGTCCTAAACTTCCCCCATTCTTTAGGATTCGAATGAGAAGCGTTTCTATATATAAATTCTGAAAAAATGGGTGACTCGGCTAGTCCAGTGACCGAGTCGGCGAGTCCATCACTTAAAATCCCGTGTACGGAAAGTCAGCGTCCATAATCGTGAACTTTCTGATCAACTCGTCGATTTTAGGCCCAAATCATCGAGTCCGTTTGGAATCAACATTTTCTACAAACATGAAAGTCGTCCGGAATTGTGACTAGTTTTTACAACATTTTTAATCTCATCAATCGGAGTTACGATTCATGAGATATGGCCAAAACACTTCCGAGGGTCAAGCTATCCAACAACATCCTTCTTTCTTCAAAATCCAAGATCCAAGCTTCCAATTGCTAAATCCGCTTCCTTTTCCATCCGAGAATGTCATTGTTGCTGAAAATATAGTTTAAACATAATTAAGTATCTTTTGTCCATAAATTGCAATAAGCTAGCCAGAAAGTATTAAAATCCTATACGAAATATGCACATATCAAGGGTATTTTATTTTGAAGCTTTACCTTCTGAAGGCGTGTATGAAACAGTGATGGTTGTAGACAATTCAGGTAATAGATTTTTACAAATTGATTCGTCTAATGGTTTAGACAAATCATGCTTGTGGCATTGTCGTCTTGGCCATGTCAACAAGAAACGCATTGCCCAACTCCAAAAGGATGGAGTGTTGGAATTGTTTGACTTAAGGTCAGATGATATGTGCGAGTCTTGTTTACTTGGAAAGATGACTAAATCACCTTTCACTGGTTCTTGTGAAAGAGGTGAAGGATTGTTAGATCTCATACACATAGATGTGTATGGTCCTTTCAGATCCACCACAAGGGATGCAAATCGATTCTATGTGACTTTTGTTGATGATTATAACAGATATGGCTATATCTACTTAATTAAGCATAAGTCAGAAACCTTTGAAAAGTTCAAAGAGTTTAAACAAGAAGTCAAGAATCAATTGGGAAGAAGACAAAGATTATTAGATACGATAGAGGCGGTGAGTATCTTAGTATCGAGTTCCACGACTACCTCAAGGAATGTGGGATAGTTTCACAATTGACTCCTCCTAGAACACCACAACTTAATGGTGTGGCTGAGAGGTGTGATCGGGCCTTGTTGGACATGGTTCGTTCCATGATGAGTCGGGCTTCACTTCCAATCTCCTTTTGGGGGTATGCCTTAGAGACTGCTGCCCATATTCTTAATCTTGTCCCAACAAAGAAGGTTGCAAAACACCTCACAAGATGTAGACAGGGAAAGTTCCCTCATTAGCACACATCAAGGTTTAGGGTTGTGAAGCTTTCGTTAAATGAGAGACTCACGACAAGCTTGAACCTTGAAGTGAGAGATGTATTTTCGTTGGCTACCTACATAAGTCCTTTGGATATTTGTTCTACAGACCAAGTGAGAACATGGTCTTTGTAGCGCGAATGGGAGTCTTTCGTGAGAGAGAGCTTATACACAAAGAGGAAAGTGGGAGTATAATTGATCTTGAAGAAATTCAAGAGTCAAACAATGAAGGAACCACTAAAAATGCTAGCGCTCAACCTGAGGAAGAAATTCCAGTTGAACCAATTGATGAATCATTACCTCCTAGACATCTTAGCAGAGTTAGAATGTCACATGAGTTTTATGGTTTCCATATTACTACAGATGGTGATATGTTTATCAGTGATAGTACAATGGTAAATTTGGATGAACCTTCTAACTACAAGGAAGCTATTGCGGGCCCTGAGCCTGCCAAGTGGAAATAGGCAATGGATAACGAGATCAAGTCCATGTATGACAACCAAGTTTGGAATTTGGCTGACAATGTACCAAGTCATAAGACAGTTGGGTGCAAATGGATCTTCAAGAAGAAGACCGACATGGATGGAAAGGTGCACACTTTCAAGGCTCGACTGGTTGTGAAGGGTTGTACTCAAACCATAGGGTTTGACTATAATGAGACCTTCTCACTAGTGGCTAAGATTAAATATATTAGGGTAATGCTAGCCATAGATGTGTTTCATGACTATGAAATTTGGCAGATGGATGTCAAAACTTCCTTCTTTAATGGGAAGTTGGCTGAGGATGTTTACATGAATCATCCAGAGGTTTTGTGGATGCTAAGTAACCCAATAGAGTGTGTAAGCTTGGGGTTTTGTGGATGCTAAGTAAACCAATAGAGTGTCAAAACATCCATTTGTCATGATTTGTATCTTATTCGTATGTCTCATTAAGGTTTGCCTCATGGTTTTTGGTTTGATCCGTGCATCTTGAAGCGAAGTGTTCGTATTTATCATACTACTAACATTAGATGTTTGAGATATCTCTTTGCTCGAATCGTTTTCCCTTTTACTTTTAATCTTTAAATTTTTTAGAGGATTCTGAGTAATTGTGATATTTTTTGTTACCTCGACCACGTCCTCTACCACGATAATTTGAACCTCGAGCTCTACCTCTTGATGATTCGTTGTTTCGGTTGGACGATTTTGTTTTAGAATAGAGTATATTTGCTTGTGTTTCAAATGCTATCGTCTTAAGATCCAAGACTTATTCAAGAGCTGCAGTATGCACAAATCGCCTAGGGAAGCTCGAGAGAAACTTATTTGCAAGCATTTTTTCGTTAATAACCTCTCCAAGTGAAGAAGATTTCAAAGCAATTCTGGTTAATAACATCTGGAGCCTTGCTTCCTTTACTCAATCAGCTCCAAGGTTACGGGTTTTGATTTCATATCTCCTTGTCGGTTCATAGGTTACCGATTTGGAGTATTAAATCTTCCGATATAGATCGGAACAACAAACCCTTCACGATGTTGTTCTTCTTGTTGTCATCCAATCCAATGTCAATAACATCCTATACGCCATGAATCCTGAGTAGCACCTCCATGCGCATCCTCCAAATTGTATAGTTTGTTCATGTTAAAGATGGGCATCGGAATGTCAATGAGGTAACTTCTTTTGTAGATGGTTGTGATGAACTTCCTTCTCTTGTCACCATTACACGATTTCATCTTCTACCCAAATTGTCAAGTTGTTGATTTAGATCTGCAAGCACACGAAAAACTGATCGTTCACTGATTTGGTTTTTTTTTTTTTTTTTTGATCAGGTTCTCCACACAAATTCCTTCTCTGATCTCAAACAAAAAAAAATGGTAGATCTTTGGTCTTCTCAAGGACAAAAAACAAATGGAAATTTTGCTTCAAACACAAGCAAAAACCAGAAAAACATAAACCTAACAAGAGCAGGTATTTGTGAAAAACCAGAAACAAATGGTGCACACAAGAGAGCTTCTTTAGTCACAAGTTTTTCTTTTGTCACAGATTTTGAGCATGTCTTTTTTTTTTTCTGTTCAGGTTCTTTTCACGAGTAGTCTCTCTGAAAATGCACATGAGAACTCCTTCTGTTGTAATCTGGCGCGAGTACACCCTTTTGCAAACCAGAAATTCGAACACTAGTTTGCTCTGATACCAATTAAAGTGGTAAATAGGAAACGAAAATAAAGAATACTGCATAAACTCGCGTGGAAATTTATTGAAGTAAAACTCACTCAAAAACTCCGATCTCATAAAAACGATTACAGGGTCCTAACATCTATATATATACTGGACACAAAAAAACATCATAGTATAATTAGGATTCCTAAATGTAATCTAACAAAACTTTCCTTTTTACTGCATTCATTATTGCTCAAGGAAGTACTAGGAATCTAGAACAACTTGGACAACACTCTGAGTTACTTGGACACCACTCCAAGCCACCGACTTCAACCAAGACCCGCCTTACAACCACATCCGATTCTTAGAAGTACCCAACAACCTTGATATTCTCATAGTCATTTAGCAACTTAATGTTTCATGTTTTCTACATCTTAAATGTTTCATTATTAGGCATACACCTATTCATATGTGTATGGATACGTTGTCAGTCATTTATTAACGTTTTTACATCCAGTCATCCACACATGCAGACGTACACGATTTCTCATCCTCTTTTCGTTCATACATATGTCTATATGTATAGATACACTTATAAGCTTTTATTAACGTCTTCTACACACTTACATACTTATACATGTGTCTATTTGGACTAATGGGAAATTGTTCACTTATTTACACATACATACATAGATACATATAAATATAGAGCTACACTGTATATGTATGTGTTATTACTTTTTTCAACACTTCAACAATGTTGTATACAACTACAACTTGTGTCCACAACAAGTAAAGTTGTCCAAAACAGAAAAAACTGAAAATATCGAATTTTATTTTAAAAACGAAACTAAACCCATAGCATAAATATATAATAGATTGGGCTGCTTGTATATGGGCCCCAATCAAACACATAACATAATTTCAAGTTCACTCTATAGCATAGCATTCATTCATTTAGCAAGCCACCCATCTCCTGAATCTTAAAGGAATTATCGCATGTGATGTGCTATACGTTCCAAGCTTATGACTATATGTTCATGTAAAAGATGCAATAGTAAGCTACATTCAATCCAAACGACTTAAAATCAAACTCTTAACACAAAAAAAAAATGTAATTACACCGAAAAAAAAATTATGTACTAAAAATCTAGAGCATGTCAAAAGTTAGCTTCTAGGATCTTGTTTACATACACGAAACTATAAAACTCAACAAAGCTCTAACAATGCCTTTTTTTTTTTTATAAATCTTACCAAATCATCAACAAAACGAGCCACTTCACAAAAATAGCTTCCACCCAACCACCACCTGCCATCATGAATTTACACCATTAACTGGTAGCTTCTGTTGCCTTATGTATCTATGTGTAGATTCTTGAACTAACATCATGATCCCCATATCAGAAACCGGAGAACATTCTTCTTCACGTTCAGGTTGTATATTCAAGTCAATATTTTGACTTTTAAACGACTGACTAGTTGATACTTTTTCAATACTTTGACCGGGACCCGTTTTCTGGTTTTGGTTTTGGTTTTGGTTATTATTATACCGAAGAATGTCAGCATACATCATTTCATTTGGATTCTGTCCCACATCCCCTACTTCTTTCTCTAAATGTTTCTCATCTCCATGGTGTACAAAAACTGATTTGTGATTGGTGCCACTTGGTGACTTTGTAAGCGTGCCATCTTGGATTGCTAAATTAGCAAGCGCATCAAGTCCTTGGTTTTCTGTTTCGTTTTTGTTACAAGAAGCTAACAACAATACCAATAGATAGATTAGCACAAATTATACAAGAGGGTTTCTTTTTTTGTAAAATGGGTATTTACGTCTTTTGCACAGACAGAGAGATAAAGCTCGAGGATAAAATACTGTAATTTTTTTTTCACATTGACATCAGTCTGAGTCCCAGTTCAATGCATGTCAGTCAAACGCAGTACAGTCTGACAAAAGCTGGTCAAAAGTGATTTGTACCGTGATTAATTGTTGGAAAGTTTGTAGGACTCCGTATAATCGGTTCCTCCTGTTACATTCAACCATGTCACGAGAAATTAAAAAATAGTAATAATAAACAAAGATGATGAATTGAATATTTTTAGAGTATCTTTTCACCTGAAAATCCTCAAATTCAACACCCTCAATAACCACAATGGTGGAGGAATTAGAAAGAGGTGGTCTCAACAATCCTTGAACTTGTTCTAAAGTGACATTTACTCGAACTATCTCTTCATCATTAGGTTTAACATGTTTGCTATTTGAACACATCTTTCCCCCTTTTTTCCTTTTAGCAATTTTATCAGCTTCTGCCCATGTCCCATCTGGATTTCTAGACTTATTTCCGAAACTACCCTTCGAAGGTTCTTCATGAGTAGAAACGTCAGTGACCTGTAGTCGAGAAACATTAGAGCGACTTAAACAAAAGTTGTAAGGGCATTTATGTCTTTTACAGAGCCGAGAAATTGGTTGAGGAAAAAGACTGACATGGTAAGATGGAGAAGAGGGTGATGCTTTTCTGAATCCCATCACAAGTTTTCCTTCAGGCTCTAACCTACTAAATGTTACTGAACAACAAAAAAAGAAAAACTGAATAGCTAAGAAGATGACCACAAGTATTAATAAAACGAAAAAGAAATGATGAAGATGAAGATGAGGGCATTTATGTCTTTTTTACCTGTATCACCAGCTTGCAACTGCATGGACTGTATACATGGAGTGACTCCTTCTAGAACATACATTCTACTATTATTATTAGGCCAGAATCTAAACTGTAACACCCAATCTTTACCCTTTAAATCTTGAACTACAAGGGGGTAACCTTCAGGCTGAGAAATTGGTGGAAGATAAGCCTGTATCACAAAAAATATATATAAATAATAAATAATAAATATTGAATGCTTCTATTATTTTTTAAACACTTTTATTCATCTCATTACCAAAAACCAAGATTGCATACCTCTGCACATTTTTTTGGTAGCACCAATCGCCCTATCCTCCCAGCATCACTAGCACTTAACACTTTCTCAAACAAAGGGGTAATTTTGGCATTTGACCTATTACATCATTAAAGATAATAAGATTACTCTTAAAATTGAATTTAAGAGCATGATGATGCCCTTTTATGCTACTAACCATCAAGGGGTTGTTTCTTTTTTCTCCTATCAAGTCTTGTAAGGGTAAAGTGGCCAAATTGGTAATGATGTATGTTTACATAAGGTCTGTTTCTCTTTTCAATACTGAATAAATGACCATTTTACCCTTACCTTCCAACAAACAAGTTTCCCAATACTGATCTTTTTTAACAATAATCATAGGTATTAATATTATATAATAATCCATTAAGCTCAAAAAAGTCAAAAAGTCAAAAAGAAACAACACCTAACTACTAGTAAATAGATATTATATAATCATATGAATAAAAGGGTATTTGAAAGTAGGATACCCTCCAGAGATCTGTTGTAGTTCTTGATCTGTTAACCGAGGCCAATAACGGGGTAGTAACTGATGTCTACCCCGTTTTTCTCCTTGACCCTTTCCACTGTAGGTTTGACTTTCAAGAGAAGTGCCAGGTGGACTATTAGTATTACTACTGGAGCAACATTTCCCTACTGATGGTGGAGGGCAAAATTGTCCAGATGCTTTTCCTTTTTCACTCTTTTGATCTTGTGCCATGAATGTTGCTGGTAAACTAGAAACAGGGGTGGCAAGTTCATTTGAAAAGAAAGATTGAAACAAATTATGTTTTCCATCATACTGTAGCCCTGAAAACAAAACAATCAGGTATGTAAAACTTATTTAAGTAACAGTTAAACAAGTTTTAACTTTCTTTTTAAGGGAAAATTAAATAGCAATGTACTTTACTCTCGTTTAAGTGAGAGCAAAGTATGTTGCTATTCTACATAATTTACACTAACAAAATCTTACCAGTGGCTTTGGCTCTATCACCAGTCATCTGCCAGCTGTCATTCACTAATCTTTCAGAAGGATCATGTATTATGCTTCTAGTCAATGAACATGAAGTTAATTGTTCCCTTGAAAGAGGTTTATCAATGTTAGAGAGTAATTCAGGTTGAAGTTTAGAAGAATTGAAGAGATAGGGTGCTTGCTTCCATGGCACAGGACCTGTTCCTGATATTGATCTCCAATTTTTGGAAGAAATATCTCGAATTCTTTCAGCGGGACCCGTGAGAAAGTGGGGAGCAGATGGCCATGTAGGATTTGGTGTCTAAAATACCAATTACAATAAAGAAAAAGTTAATGAAATAATAAGCAGGAAGTGAGGATAATGTGTAAAGTGTAATTGTGGTTACCAAGATGTATTCTGATTTTGCACAGTTGATACACTCAATTCCTCCAGCATCCAACAATATGAACATGTGGAATGACACTATGCATCCACAATGGATTTGCTGTGAAGCATAATGGGTTCATTATTATAAAAAGACAACTTCCAACATAAGAATTTAGTGATTTATATCATGATGGTAGTTAAAGATGAGATAAAGTCCATTTTCTACATGATGACTTGCCTATTTTGCCTCCTATACTCACGATATTTCTACAAAGAAACAGCCAGGTTGCGTGTATTTTTTATGACAACTAAAGAATGTGAAGGAAATATCTGTAATTTCTAAAAGTAGCAAATATTGTAATATGTCCTTTAGTTTCTGTAGTTGTCATAATGCATGCAATGGGTATGTTTCCTTGTAGAGACAATATCATGGGGAGATGAGGTGATCAAATAAAGATAAAGAAGGAAAGATGTTAATTCGGCTAATTAGTCTTGATAGATTTCTAACCTTTCCACAAGACTCACAACATCTCCAACCAGAAGCATTCATGTGGTATGTGTTACAGAATTTTCCATCTTTAAAAGCAGAACTGGAGTCAAATTGAACAAGAATTGGAAGGGTTTCATGAATTAGAAAGAAACTAACAGAAAAGGAAACCAAAATGAACTAAAGTAAATATAGAAACACCCAAACACAAGAGTCTATGAGGTCATCATACTTCAATGATCATAAGCTAATCTGGCATGGTAACTGATATTTAATCTGCATCTGCAAATGTTTGTGACTTTGCATTTTTCCTTGTGACACATTTGAGAAAGCCACATTAACTGAAAACATGATTTAATAGTGTTTCATGGTGTTTACTAAAAATCGACCCATGGATTCCTCTTTTTCCTATAAAAAACAAACACACGTAAAACTTCTTAAACAAGGAACACCATTCAAGGGTTTTTATTTCCAATTCTTATTGAGTTCTAACTAAGATTTCATTTAAAATGGGGAAGCTTGTTTTGCCTGTTACTACTATCTTGAAAAACCCTCGCCCAAGATTCAACAACTTTTAATGTTCTTTCTGCTTCCCTCTTTCTGCTTTCTTTATAAAGGCTACATGAACAAAAACTATGTATGTATCAGAGAGACTATTATTCAGAAAAAAAGACATTGAGAGGTCCAAAAATCAATCACATTCATCGGTTTTTAAGGATCATGCAGAACCATGGACCTTGACGGAAAGTCTGCAATTAACCTTCAATTATCCTTCACTATAAACAATAATGGTTAATCGTGTAGCACTAAGCTCCCCATTTCCGAAACCTAACTTCCACAACAAATTACCGAAATATCCAATCAAATATTACTTAGGATACAAGCAACAGCATTAGAATAACAGAACAAAACAACGCCGAATTTTCAAACAGAAAACACAAAATCAGTAGCATTCTTTCAACAACAAAGGATAATTAAATAGTAAGGGGATTTTACGAGCATCGATCGCAGAGGTCAGCGAAGTCTCCCGTCCGGCAAAGCCAACCTTGTCTAGGGACTTCCAGAGCTTCTTTACAAGTCGAATTGAAGCACAGCTTCGTTGAACCGGAAGACGAAGCCATCAACGGCCGCAATAAGTACACTTCAAACTCAACCAAAATCTTCCTCCCTCACGGAAAACCTAGAGAGGTGATGATTGAGTAAAAAGAAACGAACAATTTCATCGCAAAACTCATCAATAAACCCTTAGGGAATTCGAAATTTAGAACCCTAAGATAGCATTTTGCGAGTCTTTTATGAGTGTTCGTGTGAGGCAAACAGAGCTACGGGTTACTTCCTTGCAGAGGGTTCTAGAGAGAGAGAGAGAAAGAGAGGAGTGTGTGATTTCTGCGTATATATATATATAGGCTGTATCTATAGACATATAGGGGACTTATATGTGTCAGGGTTTTTGTTTTTAATTCTACTGGGTATATAGAATCCACGTTGTCCAACTTTGCCCCTTCAACATTCCACTACTTTGCACTTCAGTCATGTTGGTTTCATTTTCTAAATAAAAGCCCAATAGAAGACATCATTTTCTAAGGGTTGTTTGGATAGGAAAAAAAGAGGTGCTTATTGCTTATTCTCACAATAAGTTAATTTGAGTGTTTGGATAAAATCCAGCTTATTAGATTAAATAAGCTAATTTTAATAAGCATCCATTCTCATGCTTATTGCTTATTGCTTATTCTCACCACAAATAAGTTATAAGCAATAAGCTAAAAATCTAATCCAAGCACCCCTAAATAAAAGCCCAATGGAAGACATGTAATTTTTGTTTTTCTCAAATGAGAAAATGTCAGACTCTCTCATTGTAACAAATGCTAAAATGTTACAAGTCACATTAATATCACATAAATGGACATATTGACTGAAAAACCGAACCGGTATGGTATTAGTTTTCTTGGTCCGATTATTAGTTCTTGTAATCCTTCAATTTTGGTTTCGATTTTATCAATTTTAGTTCTATCAGATTTAGGGTATTTATCGATTGACATGAATTTTATTTCAACATGTAGTTCATTGTTTTGGTTCCATTTTAGATTCTGGAAACGTCTTATTTCGTTATATATTGACTAACTTACATGGCCATAAACACGGGATGTTAACGTTGTTGGGACTATTTAAACATTATGGAAAAATATTGTTCAACTTTAAACTTTTATAGCTACTTCATTATAAGTTTAGTTGACCTTAATGTTTTATCCAGCATGTAATTCATTGTTTTAACTATATTTTAGGCTTTAGAAAACGTTTTATTTGGTTCTATATCTGTTGATTGGACTCCAAGCATAGCTATTAAAGTTGTTTGTGTCGTTTCATAAATTTGTAGAGTCAATTTTAAATTGTTATGACTATTTCGTTATAAGTCCAATTGATTTGATTTTTCACAATATAAATTTATATGTTTTAGTTATATTTTACTTTGCAAACAACTTATTTGGTTATATATCGACTAAGTTATAAGGTTTTAAATGGGAGCTATTAAAGCTATATATATATATATATATATATATATATATATATATATATATATATATATATATATATATATATATATATATATATATATATAGGGCTAGGTTCAAATGTTTCTGACATCTATTATGTGTCTGTAAGCATAAATCTGGACCAACGGATAGAATGTAATCAATGGTCATAATCTGAGGGTCTATGATATTAAAATAAGGTAACATGTATCATATAATCACATAAATTTCAACATAAGGGTGTTTTGATCAATTAACTTATATTGAAAAATGAAATTTCAAGATTTTAAGGGATAATTAATACCCTTATTTTTAAAAATATGAATTTTTTAAATTAATTCAAATTTAATTCTAATATTATTTTTAATAATATCCGATTTCATTCTGTTAGAATGACATAAAATCAACCATAAACTAGTAAATATATTATTGATTTTATTCTTGCAGAATATGGTTGTATTCTCTCTCTCTCTCTCTCTCTCTCTCTCTCTCTCTCTATATATATATATATATATATATATATATATATATATATATATATATATATATATATATTAACATGCTTTAAGAACTATAGAACATATTATCAACACTAACATTTTATAAAAAATATAGGTCTTCTTGCACTAATAATATATCAAATAATTACATTTATCATTGTGATACAAAGAACATTCTTGAATAATAACAACATTATGAAAGAATAACAAGTGTAATTCTTTAAAAAAAAAATAACAAGATTCTTAAAATGTGAGTGTGATCAATTTTTGATTCATTCTTCAAGCATTTCCTATCACGTCTTCAAACCATTCTTTAATCCATTCCTATCACAAATGCAACAAAAACTAAGAATGGTTAAAAAAAAATATCATATTCTTTAAGAATGAGTTTAATGAACCTGTTCATTCTGTGAGAAAATATCATAGCAAATCTACTACAAAGAAGGCAACCACGTATTCTAAAAGAATCATTAACTCTAAAGTGTAATTACCATTTATCCTGATACAATATAATATGTCATTTTAAATTTGGCGGAATGCATACAATATTTTAAATTGGCAATGTCGGTTGTAATTTTGATAGAATAACCAGGGCAACAACATTATTAGTTAATAATAATTTATCCATTCTACAAGAATAATCAAGTAACACATTGAATCATGAATGATTCAAATCCTTATTATTTTTTAATTATACTTAAGCCATTATATAGAAATGCATGCAAAAAGAATTACACACAAACTCCAAAGACAAGCAAGCATTACACATCTAAAAACAATTAATATATTTATTAAAAAATTTTACTACAATATTTATCATCGTACCTTATGAGTTGGGATGCCTCAACTTGACAAGTTGGCAGCTAAGAAGGAAACTCTAATTTTTAGGGTCTTGCACCCTATTTAAAGTCCATAAGTCCTTTCTTTGGCCTCCTTATCAGCCTCTATTGTTATCAAAACCCTAAAACGAGTTGTAGCCTCCATTGTCAAGTTTTTTTAGCCTTGGAAGGAAGTTTGGTGTTAATTTTGTGCCTTTTGAAGGAATTAGAAGATCTTAAAGTTTCTAGCTTGGAAAATGAAGTATTGGATCCAGAATCACTCCATTTCTTGCAGTCACTTTATGTAGTGGTGTTGATTATAATGACATGTACGGAATATGAAAGATCTAGTGAATCATCATGTAAAATCAAGAACACGAGGAGTAAATAAATCTTTGTAAGCTCATATTAGACCTAGAAATAATATATAAATGGGTTTGTACAAAGTTTCTCTCTCTAGTCTAACACTCCAAATGGTTCCTTACATAAAATGAGTGCCACTCACTTCCTTATAAAGGAAAGGCAACTCATTACACATACAAGTGGGTAAAGCCTCATCCAAGCGTGACTTTGCACCTTAACATTCTCCCCCTCAAAGTTAGGATTGGATGCCCCAGCTTCAGTCTCCAACGAGCTAGCGTGATCAAGACCAAAACTCCCCCTTGAATTAACACCTATCTTCAAAATTTGCAAACGAATATCCGAGAAACCCGCTTCGAATACCCATCATTCCCCCTTTTTATAATCAAAAATGATTATAAAACCCATTAAGGGTGAGAAGCACCTGAGGAATGAATAATACAATACTCCCCCTTGATGTATACCAAAAATAAATCACCAAAAATCTTGCACGGAAAAATAATCACGAAAAAGCCTCAAAAATTTCCAATTTTTGAAATTTTTTGACTTTTTGGGTGAAAGTTGAAAGATTTTTCAAAAACCAAGTAAAAATGTCACTTTCTGAATTCTACAGGGACCCGTTGCGCCAAAAACAGCCAAATATGCGAAACTCTACCCCATTTGCCAAACTAGGCATAAAGTGTAAATTCACACAAACTGCATTGACTAGAAATGAACATTCTTCAATTTCTCATAAATTAGTCCAATTTCGAAGTTGGGTATTTGCTCCCAACTTTTCGAAACATCGGGGAGTCATTTCGAAATTTCTGCATTCTTCACATCCAAACTTTCAAAAATCAGTCCATTTTCGAATTTGGGTAACAACTATCAATTCTTAAAAGTTCCAGGATGCAAATCGAAAATGTTTCATGTTCTTCCCCAATTCAATTCGTTCCCAACACACTAAAGAGTAGCAGCAACAGTCGAATATGAGTTCGACCTCACTAATCCCATCAAGTAATATTGAGTGTCGACTAAGCATCCACAAACCTTCGTTACAAACTCGATGAATTCGACATCCAAATCAAAATACTAACATTGAATACTCGATTTCTACCCCAACACGAACTATTCCAAATCAAACTCAACTCTAATGAGTTCTATATATCCAGACCATTCGACCTTAAGCTATTGGATTTCGATACTCATATCCAAAATGCAATTTCAGATGCGAATATGAGCATCACACGTCGAGATTTCTTTTCAAAGAATTCATCATAAACGATCGTTGTGAATGTTCTCAAACAGCCTTCCCATTTGACATCAAACAAACCATTTACCCAGTTCACTTCGTTATCCAACCCTCTTATATTGACTTCGCTATCAACCATTGATCGATTATAGCGAATTCTTAGTTCGTTCCCAACAATCAAATCTGTTATCATCCTTTTCATTCGACGTTGACTTTTAAAAAAATCATCTTTGAACATCCAATCGTCTGCAACTATCGAATCTTTTAATTATCATTCATCAATTGTTCTTGTAACCATCGAAGTCTAATTTCATTGCAATAAACACCAATTTTTCCACTTATGATCAAAGTTCCCACTTTCAACCAAATTCATCTTATTCATCGTTTGTTCTTCACTGGAAAACATCAACAATCACTTTCAACCAAATTCATTTTTCCATTACGTGTTATGTGGTATGCTAATTGTCTTTGTGATACTTGCATGGAAGACCTCGGGAGGAGCCCATGTCATATCAGATAAAGACCACAGGGGAAGCTTATGGAAACTATATGTATGTTGCATGATAATCTGTGGTTGTATGTTGTGTGGTATTTTGGGGAACTCATTAAGCTTTATGCTTACGGTTTTCACTCTATGTTTCAGGTACTCCAATTTTCAAACGGAAGGGATCAGAATGATTG